CATAAGAACTGCTTGCTTTGTTGGTTTTCCAGGAGAATTCCTTTGTTTACAGCCATGCAATCGTGCCAAACGTATACTCGGAATACAAATCAATAATCAACATTTCATTTCGATCATCAATTAATATTTCTTCATTGCGTTTTAGAAATAATAAAGTCGAACTGAGTATTCTTTTTTGTTAATGTAATGGAATATCTCCTCGAAAGTTATTCAATATCAACGAATACGAAGAAAAATAAATGAATTCCCAATGGTGATTGTAATTACAATCAACCGTTTACTTCAATGTTATTCATAAGAATGTTGTTTAAATGCTTGTTCATCGCAATTTTATTCAGAAAAAACGTTCGAAATCAAAAAAAAAAAACATGCTAACGAGGATTCGAAAGACAAAAATCTGCCGACAATGGGAATTAGCTCTCTGCGTGTACAACTTTATTTTAACAAGTGTTTATAATCACGAATTGTTTTAAACTGTAAACTTACCTATGAACTCAACACTTTATTCCAATTTATCTAGAAATGCGATCGAAACAACGTTTTTCCAAAAATCGTTTAATAGAGCAAGATTCAATGCAAGAGAGATTGCGTCAATCTACTCAAAAGAAATCAAAGACGCCGACTATTTTTGTTTTATTCCATGCGTTTCAAAATTGGCATCGAGTAATTCGAAACGCCAATCAATTCAAATTCGTACTTGTTTGATGTGAGAGAATCGTCTCGCATATATGCTCGGCGTGTTTCACATGCTCCAGTATTTGAGTTCCGTCTTAACATACGCATCATTCGTAGTTGTGACAAAGTCGTAAATTAATCCATTGCTCGGCGAACGATTCGGTGCGAAATGAAATGAAAAGTATTCTTAGCATTAACTCGTGTTGTAAATTGTTTTACTCTTGAAACGAAAAAATGCCTATCATTTAACACGCGAATTTGTATGAATTAAGAATATTGTTTTGCTTTGGTACAAAAAATATAGAGAAGCATGTTTGCAAAGAAACGCTTTTTTCACAGCAAAAACTCACAAAAAAACCAAGCAATTTAGATGTTGTACATAGAACAAATGAAATGCTTTTGGTTCGAGATTTGCTCCAGCAGAAGGTACTAATTTATTTTAAATTATTATTTTTCTGAACGGCACAGAACGAATTGCGTTATAACAAATCAAACACGTCATCGAATACAGTTCGTGTATTACAAAAATAAATTGAATTCATTACAGTTGTCCATTCTGTCTTTTTTCTTTGAAATACGAAGCGCACATAGAAATATTTATCAGACTTGGATTGTGATATGACACACATTTTTTCAGTAACCAAAACACAGAAATTATCTAAACTAATCAATTGGAGTGTGAAAAATCGATACAAACCACAGAAAAAACTATTATTCGAAAATTTCACACAAGTGAGATCAAGTAATTTTCAAAATGGATCTAAAAATGACGGACTATAACTTATTGGTTTTTGGTTAATTGTTTGATGGCTGCCTTAGCTTTTATCGCAGATTCGCGACTGCCAACGGAACTTTTTGCAGGGGGCAAAGTCGAAACATGTGAACTCTTCGGACTTGATTTTCGTGTGCGTTTTGTTGGTGGATCTTTTAACACCGGTGATTTTTTTGCTGCATTTGAAGGCAAATTTCCAGCTTGAACTGTTTCATCGGTTGTTTTGATCGTGTTTCGGCTTATTGGTTGAACAGTTTCACGGTTTGAAATCACAGCTCTCTCGAGTAGAATTCTTGGTTCTACACAAATTCCGCGCCGTTTCGAAGCCAATCGTCGTGCACGATCGAAAAAACCGTCGTTCCTGAAAGAAAATTGAATTTTTGTTTAATCCACACGATTGGTTTGAATATCAGGTACAAAATTATGTTGCGAATTTTTAAGAAAAAAAACCACAAGGAAAATGATTTACGACATTTACACTAGGTGAACTCGAAAGTGTGGGCCACTTACAGGCCTAAGATTTGGTTTTCTCATTTTCTATCGAAAACAAGACTCCAAGCCAATTTTCAGACAATTCGGAGAGGGTCGATCCAACTCTTGTTCGATTTCGTGTGGAATGGTCGAAATATTCTAACAAAATGGAAAAACAGAAAAAATGCTCACCATAAACCATTTTCCGGAGGCAAAATTTGCATGAAATCGTCTGAGGAGAGGCAACCATAAAGAGCACCGATTTCACTGATTCGTGCAAGTACTGAAGCCAAATGGGCATTATCGATAATTCCACAGGTTGCTGCAACTGGCACTTGAGCCGGAGAGTGGGCTGGGACTGAGATCTGTTGCACATTCACAGTACCAGCGTTGACATTTGGTGGAGGTGTGTTTCCTTGAACCAAATTGCTGCCGATAGCTGGCACTTGAGGCGGATTGTTGGCTGGAGCCGGAACTTGTTGCGCATTCACAGTACCGGCGTTGACATTTGGTGGAGGTGTGTTTCCTTGAACCAAATTGCTGCCGATAGCTGGCACTTGAGGCGGATTGTTGGCCGGAGCCGGAATTTGTTGCACATTCAGAGTGCGGTTGGGATGACGAGACGCACGATTTTCGTTTCGCTCAGGCAAAACATAGTTTTCTGGACGTTGCAAGCAACCAGGAATGTGTCGGGAAAGTTGTGCATTTCCAGTAGCGACCTTTACGTTCATAACCGTATCACACCACGAACACTGAAACCAATCTTTCAGTTCAATGAATTCACCGTTTTCTATACGATAAATTTTCCGAAACACATTGTATATGCGCGAAGTATCCCGATTTCCTGTAGCGAACATCGCCACATATTGCGGTGTTCGCAATAATGCAAGCACCTCAGATGCTCGTAATGCTGTTGCTGCCTCAGCCATGTGAGTGTTTTTGCTGAAAAAAATGAATTGAAACGTTACAATTTGTGTTAGTGATGTAAGTACTTGCTCAATGTGTGTTTTATCAAAAATGCAGCGATGATTAAAGACGCAGTGAGAGATAATATTTATTTGATTTGAAAATCAAACAACAAATTTAATGTGTGCAAGTCACATAAATTACAATCTTTAAGAAAAATTAAATGTTACATTTGCTTTGGATTTAGTTCGATACCAACGCATCGACAAGTTTTTTCAACAAAATATTGTACACAGTTCATGTATGGATGGTTTTTTGAATGCCGTTTACTTCATCCACAACGACGTCGGTCGTTTGTGTTCTTGCTATCGAAAAGTTGATAAGGAATCGAGCACTTGAAAATTAACAAAGAATGGCACATGATTGTTTCATGGAAAAAAAGAATTGTATGAATCTCTTTTCGGTAAATGAACATTGTTCGTGTGACTCAACTGAATATACAAACAATCGACAGAAGAAATAATGTATTTTTTCTGTAGCTGCACTGCAAAATGTAGTGTATGTCTTGTGTTTTAGAAACGTTGATTGGTTGAATTGAAATTGCATTGAACTCTTCGTGAAAGGCACAGATATGCACTTAAACTCAGTCAGATGAGAATGATAATAAAGAGATAAGTTTGATAAAAGCAAATGAATGATCATAACAATGCAGTGCCTTTATTCGTTTCGGTAATCAAAATGAAACTATCAATTAAAATGTTGCCAGAAACAAATGAGTTTAGATGAATATTCAATTTTAGTTGAAAGAGAAAAAATCACCGCTTGTGTGCAAAAAAAAGTTCACAATCTGCCGTTAAGAGAATTGCTGTGTGACCTTCTCGCATTACATTGAGCGACGGAACACAACATTAAGAAAAAAACCAAATCGATCCAACACGAATCAATCACAAATCTGGCCATTGAAAAAAAAAGAAAAAGAAAGATGAATGCGAACACAAACACACACAGCAGCTTTGTCACCAATGAATGCCGGCAATAGAAAAACACTTTAAATCACTTTGGTTGCAAAAGAACTGTTCATTAGTGTGTTTGCTTGTCGTTTGGATCATTTGGATTTGGTTCTTCTTCATTACTCAATTCGGCATACAGATTTGTGATTAGACAAAAAACACCGGTTTAAAAAATCAATTTCGTTCGGATATATTTTAAAAGGTAAATTAAACTTCCACTCACTTTTCACGTTTTTGATTTCAAAATTTACTTTTCGGATGTTTTTTTTGTTCACTTGTGAGATTTATATCAATTTTATTTGCTTCACTTTCGAGTGCGGGACGGAGAGTGAAGCATCAATTTGAGATGTGACGATTTCCAACCGAGTGTAGTATGAGTGTGTTGGTGCTTCGTATTGCTTTGTGTTTTGTTCGTTGGCAGACAGGAATGTAAGCCGAATATACACAAATTTTCGCACGATGTAGCGATTGGCTCCGATCGCCGTTTCGCGTTGGCTCTGATTGTTCTACCCGGAACGACGGAACGATATTGAACAGGTCAATAACGACACACTAACACACTCATACTACACTCGATTGGAAGTCAGCACATCTCATAATGATGCTTCACAGGCGCACTTTATGAAGAGAGAAAGAACACATTTAACAAAAGAGTTTGCGTTATATGCTTTGACATAGTTTACATAGAGAGTGAGAGAGAATTCGAGAAAAAAAACAATACGTCACACGTTGTGTGAATGCCTCCCGAAATTTTGTGCGGTTGCATTTATTGACTCTCTCTTTCATTTTTTGTTCTGTCGCCATTTAGTCGTTTTTCGTTTGTTTATTTCAAATTTGGAATTTCATCCTTTGAGTATTCGAGACGTAAAATTGAACGGTGAAAAGTTTGGCGAAAAGAATTTCAGCACAAATTTATATTGTGACGGCTTTGCGTAGAGTACTATATCGTTCGGGTTTAGCACATTCGCTTTAACCAAACATACAACGCACACATACACACACTTTCACACGCCGCATGCCAATCCGAAAGTAAAACATCGGGCACGGAATCGGCTGTGAGCAGCAACAGCAGCAACTGGAGATATACGCACAAGAGGTAATGAAATGTGTGCCGATTTTTTCATTCTAGATCGCTTCTACACCACCATCACGCGATACCGATACACACTCGAAACCGAAAAATCGAACGGAAAATTGTATGCAATTCAAATATTGTTGCTTATTTTTTCTTCGCGCAACATTTGAATTTACCAAAGGCACAACCATGAAGACCTGAAATGCTCCAACACATTCCATTTCTTTTGTGTGTAGAAGAGAGAGATTGAGTGCGAACGTTTCAGTCAATATCATTTTTTTGGAAGTGGAGCAACACAATTATGCATACAGAATTCAACCATATGTTTGTTGGAACAATTTTGTTTGCTGGAATTCGATGGTGAAGTATACAAAGACAAAAACGATTAATTATTTCTGTCTTTCGTCTACACCGATGGTGTTTGGTTTACATTTTTTCAAATTGTTTGTTGCATTCATGTGTGTGGCTTTCGAACACACATCATACACTCACCTAAATCATGCTGTGGAAAAAATTTATACCGATCGCATTTCAAATGCGTTCTTTTTTGCGTCACTCGCCTTTTGTCGTGTATACATAACTTTTTTCTTTATGTTATTCTTCTAAAACAATGACAAATCTGTTTCTTGCTAATGACACACGATTTCACACGTCGCATGCCATTCCGAATGTACAATCGGGCACAAAATCTAAACAGTAACAGCAGCAACCAGAGCAAATATACACACAAGAGGTGATGAAATTTCTAGAAATATTTTCGAACCAAAATCTCTGATTAGAAAATATGAATTGATTGAGTGTGTTAGTGATGTTGGTACACGCTCAATGTACGTTTTATCAAAAATGCAGCGATGATAAAAGACGCAGTGAGAGATAATATTTATTTGATTTGAAAATCGAACATCAAATTTAATGTGTGCAAGTCACATAACTCACATTCCTTTGAAAAAAGGTGCATATTTGTTACATTCGCTTTGGAGTCAGTTTGATACCAACGCATCGACAAGTTTTTTCAACAAAATATTGTACACAGTTCATGTATGGATGGTTTTTTGGATGCCGTTTACTTCAGCCACAACGACGTCGGTCGTTTGTGTTCTTGCTATCGAAAAGTTGATAAGGAATCGAGCACTTGAAAATTAACAAAGAATGGCACATGATTGTTTCATGGAAAAAAAGAATTGTATGAATCTCTTTTCGGTAAATGAACATTGTTCGTGTGACTCAACTGAATATACAAACAATCGACAGAAGAAATAATCGTATTTTTTCTGTAGCTGCACTGCAAAATGTAGTGTATAACTTGTGTTTTAAAAATGTTGATTGGTTGAATTTAAATTGCATTGAACTCTTCGTGAAAGGCACAGATATGCACTTAACCTCAGTCGTCAGATGTGAATGATAATAAAGAGATAAGTTTGACAAAAGCAAATGAATGATCATAACAATGCAGTGCCTTTATTCGATTCGGTAATCAAAATGAAACTATCATTTAAAATTTTTGTTGCATTCATGTATGTGGCTTTCGAACACAAACACTCACCTAAATCATACCGTGGAAAAATCCGACTTTTTTGCGTCACTCGCGTTTTGTCGTGTAAAAATAACTTTTTTCTTTATGTTATTCTTCTAAAACAATGAGAAATCTATTTCTTATTAATGACTGCTGTTGAAATTGTAATCGTATACGTTTTGTTTTCATCGAATCTTCTAACGGCACACATCAATAATAATACCAATGAAGTACTCTGAATAGAGCGTTCATTCAATGTGACAAATGTAAATAGAATCCCATTCTTGTTATCAAGAGTTGATAAACCATTGAAATGAAGAAATGACCTTCTGGTTGATCATTGAAAATTCAAAAGTAAACCTAATTGAAATGTAGTCATATGTGACAAAAATTATTGTTTATGCACATTTTTGATGAAAATTTCTTTCGAATTGTGATGACTATGTCATATATATCAAGGATCTTTCTATCATTTATTTGTGCATCTTTATTTAAGATAAAGAAAATACACTTCTTTATATCACATATAATTGTATGACAAAAACAAATCACATCGATATAAAATAAAAATTTCCACTTACCTTAGTCTAAGCTTCAGTTTCAGTTTCAGTCACCGTTTCCACTTTCAACTTTTATTTAAGAAAATGAATTATTTCACACACGAGTTCGTCGAAGGGCATCGTCGAGGTTCCAGATTACTCTGGGTTCCTGAAGAAAAATACCTCTATTTCAAAAAGGATGACCGGAGTGGAAAAACAATATATCTCTGCTACGAAAATCAATTGCAAAATGAGCAAATATGTTCATCTCGTCGTTCAATTGATTCGGAGGGAACAATGACAACAAATTCAATCCCTCATTCATGTCATTCTAATCACCAGGCTGTCCATGACAAACTGAAATTAAGATCGCACATTATTGATTCTTGTGAACACGCAGCGCATGCACTGGAAGATCTTCATTTCACCATTCCCACGCAACAGATTTTTACTCGAGAGGTTGCCAAGTGAGTAGCAGTCAATAGATTCTGTCCAATCAGTTTGCTCGTCAATATAAATTTTGAATAAATTCACAACCATAAGCAGGGCCACCGGAAATTTTTACGAAAATATAAAATATTTTTTACACATTTTGGCACCGATAAATTACATTGTCGATTACACAAAGATAATCCATTTCAGATGTGCAATGTGCATTGCATGCTCTGCACCGTGAATTTGAATGCGTGACAAAATTATGATCTCTTTGCTCAGTCTTTAATCTATGTATTTTCTATGGAAAATACCAAAAATTCAATGTTTATGCCATAATTTAATGGTTTTTTGAAGATAATATTTTAAATAATTTCGTAAATATTTTGAACTTTTTCGTAAATAATTTCGGTTGCCCTGACCATAAGGGATATTTATTTATTGTTTGAAACTTATATTCAAGACAACCGCTTGGGGCAACAAGTTTGAGCTACAATAGCATTTCGCGAACTTTGCGTCGACATGTTAATAAAAAGTATCCGTCGAAACCGGATACTTTAGCGAAAATCATAGCAGCATATGCTGACCCTACAACAATGCTGCAGTATGGCTTCAACTTGAGAGATACGCATCGGTTTTATGTCGACACAATTGATAAAAAAAGAGGTGGTTTTACTATTTTCGCTTCGAATGAAGTGATGCGAATGATCGACGAAAATATTCCACCTGAGAATCGAAAATATATGTTGGACGGCACGTTCGCTGTGGCTCCACTCGGCAGTTTCTACCAATTGCTCATTATTGCCATAGATTATAAAAAAGATGTGAGTGGTGCAATCGAAAAATTTAACCGGCTATTGTGTTTCAGAAAAAAATATTATACAAATTATTCTCCTCTACAGTTGTTTCCGATAGTCTACGTATTAATGACGGACAAAGAAGCAGCGTCGTATCAAGCTGTATTTGAATATATTGAAACGCATATATTTAAACTTCAACCAGCCGAATTTATGGCCGATTTCGAAACTGGTTTGAGGGCTGCGATCCAAAGATACTACCCTGAAGCATCTCTCCACGGATGTTGGTATCATTATTGTTCGAGTATCCGCCGGCGCCTTATGACTCTTGATATGCATCAAGTCATAACTGATGATCCTTCAGGAATAGAAATTCATAGGATGTGTTTGAGCTTACCGTTACTGCCTCAAGCATGCATTCTAGAGGGTTTCAACGTGGTTCAAAGAACGGCACGAGAAAAAGGACTTTATAGTGAATTCAAAAGTTTTTTAAATATTTCAATGACTTTTGGATGCATTTGGTATGTGCGTGATATTCGTATCGCTTCAAAATAAGTTCAATTAAATAATTGTTCTGATTTAAATAACCTTTATACCTCTAAAATCTTCAGAATAACACCAGTTCGCTGTCTGTGGCATTTTTGGCAAACCGAACGTCATCTCCTTTGGAATCACTAAACTCCATACTCACTCGATCAATCGCAAAAAAAACTCATTTTTTTCGCTTTGTCGGCCGTCTGAAGCTGTTTGAAAGTAAAAAAGCTCACGACATGTCGCTCGCAATAAACAGTCGAGACTATAGGCCGTCAAACAGAAAGCATCACCAACGAAACGAAAAAATCATTGAAATCACGAAAATGCTCGACGAGGGAAAAATTGACGTGGAACAATTCTTGGAAGAAATGTCCAATGATCGAAATCGTATGTTTACATACAGTCACGCAAATTTTCTTCCAATTTAGTAACATTTTATTCTTTGTCATCCGATAGGTTACGTCCACGAATATTACGATCCGGAATTAGATTCAGATTCCGAAGAATCATCCCAATGTGGATATGATGAAGAGTCCGATAGCAATTAAAATAAAGTTGTACACGCAGAGAGCTAATTCCCATTTTCGGCAGATTTTAGTCTTTCGAATCCTCGTTAGCATGTTTTTTTTTGATTTCGAACGTTTTTTCTGAATAAAATTGCGATGAACAAGCATTTAAACAACATTCTTATGAATAACATTGAAGTAAACGGTTGATTGTAATTACAATCACCATTGGGAATTCATTTATTTTTCTTCGTATTTGTTGATATTGAATAACTTTCGAGGAGATATTCCATTACATTAACAAAAAAGAATACTCAGTTCGACTTTATTATTTCTAAAACGCAATGAAGAAATATTAATTGATGATCGAAATGAAATGTTGATTATTGATTTGTATTCCGAGTATACGTTTGGCACGATTGCATGGCTGTGAACAAAGGAATTCTCCTGGAAAACCAACAAAGCAAGCAGTTCTTATG